GAAGAAATAGCTTTTAAGTGTGTAGTTATGATATAACATAGTTTTAAGTAGAGTTTTGGGGGCAAAGAGCAAACCCTGACCTGCTCATTGTGATGGAAAAAACACAATCCTTCATGTCTCTTTTTTCAGAGCTATCTATTTCAGCTGCTTCAGGGCCTAGCTTTCTGCCATTCTCATCGGGTCCTGCACCGAGACCTTAAACCTCAGAATCTGCTTATCAATGCAGAGGGGGCCATCAAACTAGCAGACTTTGGATTAGCCAGAGCCTTTGGAGTCCCTGTTCGTACTTATACCCATGAGGTAAGTCCCTCTACACATTTCCTCTCTGATCATCCTGGGAAGTATTAACAAGGGCATTCACAAAGTTACTAAAAATATGTGGCAAACAATTTCTCTCTTGGTAGATGGAAAGAATCTCTGACACCTTAAGTAGTCTTAGGTATATACAGAAGTCATAATTTGAGGCAAATTGGGCTTAGATTTTAAGCCAAGATGGCTAGATGGCATACTGTTAAAATTATGACCATTTGTCTCGAGTTTTTCAGGAAGGTCTCAAATAGGGGTTCAGAAAATGTGGTTCCTAGAGTAATGGACTAAGCTAACTCTGGGCTAAGAACTTGTGTGTAGTCATTTCTATTAGAAATCAAAAGGAGAGAAAGAAGCTACTTAGAGGCTGAGAGCAGAGTTTTGTTGAGGAGTTGAGATGTGGGAATCTCCATGTCCCATAAACCATCCCTCTCCTTCCTATTCTTGTCCCCTAGGTGGTAACACTATGGTATCGGGCACCAGAAATCCTTCTGGGATGCAAATACTACTCCACAGCGGTGGACATCTGGAGCCTGGGCTGTATCTTTGCAGAGATGGTATGGAAGCTTGCCCAAGTTTCACCCCACCTACTCCTCCTCACATGCAACAACAACAGAATTATTTTTTGGCTCAGCACTATGGCCTTTTGTCACAGAGTTCACCAGATCAGCACCAGGGGCAGGATTTGGGGAGATAGGACTGTTGCCCTTGATATCAACTACAAAGTTAGAATGTCCTCAGACAGACTTAGTATCTAGTATACATCTCTTATCACTGAAGTGAACTAAATCATTTATGTGGTTGTTAGGCTGTTTTAGCTTTAGTCTGCATATATTTGGAAGAATGAGTTCCATTTGGTGCTTCCTTCTTTTGGCTTATATACCTTGTTGCTGAGGCTGGCTTCAAATTTGTGATCCTCCTGCCACAGCCTCCTGAGTAGCTGGGATTACAGGCATGTGCCACCACACCTGCCCTGTATACTTTGTTGTAGGGTGCCAAGAAGGTAGTGAAGCCAACTGTATTTATCTATACCCTTCATTTAATTAAAGACTTCAATCATGTCCCCCCTCAACCTCTGGCTTTTCAGATTGAAGGATCCTTGAGGCCCAGCCTTACATGGGCTCTTCCATTCTCTTTAATACAACAGTGGAGTAAGCTGAGTCTTCAAATCAGCAAAGACATTTTGTGATCCTTTATCTGGGTTATAACTGGTGGCTTAGAGACCATTAGTCTATAAATAAATATTATATATATATATATATATATATACACACACACACACACATATAAGCATACATAATGTGCATTTATCCCCCAGTGCATAACCTTACAATTGCCCATATTCCTCTCTCAATTCATCAACAAATATTTGTTAAGCACCTAGTGTGTACCCAGCACCATGCTAAGTGCTGTGGGGAACACAGAAGAAATGGAAGACACAGTCTCTGCCCGCTGTGCTCCTATCTAGAAGTGGCTGCATCACAAGGAGGGGGGATGACCGCAGTGTCTACCCCACACCCCGTGAGTGGCTTGGGATCCCTTTGCTACACGTCAGTGGCACCCCAGACATTCACCCCCTCCCAGCCCCACCCAGCCTTGGGGATCTGCAAAGCCATGGTTGGGGGAAGGAAGGAGGGGGAAAGGAGACAGATGAAGGGACTTCATTGTCTCAGGCTCTGTGTGACCGACCCCATGAAAGGCCCTGGGGAGGGAGTCATGGGGCCCTGCTGACCTTCTACTGCCTGTGGGAACCTCCTTTGACAGGGGATAGTTTGACTGACACCATTGTGGGTCTTGGCTTTTCCTCTTTTCCCATTTTCAGGTGACCCGCAGGGCCCTATTCCCCGGAGATTCTGAGATTGACCAGCTTTTCCGGATTTTTCGGACTCTGGGGACTCCAGATGAGGTGGTTTGGCCAGGAGTTACTTCTATGCCTGATTATAAGCCTAGTTTCCCCAAATGGGCCCGGCAAGATTTTAGCAAAGTTGTGCCTCCTCTGGATGAAGATGGACGAAGCTTGTTATCGGTAAGAATGGGGAGTGGGCACTTCATTCATTCTCTAAGGGAAGGGCTTTTCCAGGGTGAAGGAAGGCTGACACCCTGAATGCTGGGCCTCAGCTTTTCCCTAGTCCTTTGCTTCCCTGTGTCAGCATGCTGGTTCATATATATGGGAGGAGGGAAATGAGAACCTGTGTAAAAGTAGTCTGGTCTCCTGATTTCTAAGAATGTGTTGCTGCCCACTTAGTCTAGTGTCACATCACTGAAGTCAGCATACATCTTTCCCTCTAGCAAATGCTGCACTACGACCCCAACAAGAGGATTTCAGCAAAAGCAGCTCTGGCTCACCCATTCTTCCAAGATGTGACCAAGCCAGTACCCCACCTTCGACTTTGATGTTCTTCCCCAAGCCCTCACCCCCAGTCTCACTCTGTCCTCCAGTGTGGGTTTGACCTGGCTTGACTCTGGGCTATTTGGACTCAGGTGGGCCCTCTCATCTTTCCTGGGTGCCTTAACACTTGCCTTCCCCTCTCATCCAACCAGCTCTGGGCATCCAGAGGTAGAGAGGAGGAATAAGTGAAAATGTAAAGAAGTTTCAGTATTAGATGCACTTAACTCAGCTTCTGCCACCCTTTCTCTCTTTTTTTAGTCATTGCTGAGGAGGGCTGGTTTTCAAAACAAAACAAAACTGACTGTTCTCTCCCCACGTGGGGTTTGCCATCCCAATCTCTGAATATCTTTGAATGCCCCATAGATATTATTTCCTGCGTTTGGGATGACCAGTGACCCCAGTCCTCCTGCTGCCACTGTTTTTGTAAAGACCAGAGGATAGCAGGAGGCAGAGTTGGAATGTTTGAGAACCAAGCAAAACAAAACCATGGGGAGGGATCTATTTTAAAGAATTAGGTTAAAAAATAGATCCAATCAGTTTATACCCTAGTTTTAGTGTTTCATCTTGCCTAACAGGCTGGGAAACTCAAGACAGAGCCCCATTGGGGAAGCAGAAGAAATGATTGCCTATAGACCCCTTGTCTGCCCCTCCTAGGGGCCAAGAGGAGTCTGGGAGGCCCAGGGGACAGGGATTGTGCTGCACTCTGACCTGTTGCTTCACCATGGCCTTATGAGGCAGGTGAGATGTTTGAATTTCTCTTTTCCTTTTATGATTTTAGTTCTTGCCAGGGATCTCTGCTCCCATCTTCTTTGGAAGTTGTCTCTTACCCCATAAGAGTGAAGTTAGGGTCTAGATATCATTTGGAGAATGCTGGTACTTTTTCAGGATTGTGCCTGAGTGGGGGCATTGGGAAAAAATTATTTCTTTAAAAGAAGGATGAACAATTATATTTATATATCAGGTTATAGTTGGGTTTTTTTTTTTTTTTTTTGGTCTTTTGTCAGAGTGGCTGGATTTGTTGCCGTGTGCACCTTGGGGTTTTGTAATTTTAATGTTTAAAAAAAGTACTTTTTCTTTTTATGATTTTGTCTCTCATCTCCCACCCTGTCCTTGAGTGCTCTTTCTCTATTAACATTATTTGTAATTTAGTTTGTAATTCATTAAAAGAAATGTTCCTAGTTTTATAGCTCATCTTCTTCCTCTTTAAGATTTACTTAAAGAATGGTGTGGGAAAGAATCTGAATGTGTGATAATTGATTTCAGACCCCTTTTTTCCTAATCTGTGTTTATACAGGGCTACCTTCCCACCCATTTTACAGCTGGGGAAACTAAAGCCTCTGTGTTTTTTTTTTTTCTAGTTGTACACAATATCTTTATTTTTTTATTTATGTATTTTTATGTAGTGCTGAGGATCGATATCAGTGCCTCACTCATAGTAGGCGAGCGCTCTACCTTGAGCCACAATCCCAGCCCTAAAGCCTCTTTATTTTCTAGTTAACTTTCCTCATGGACCAGCAGCTCCCCCTCCTCCAAATACACACCACTGTACAAAGACGTAAGAAGTGGCTGTTATAGAATTTCCAAGCTAGGAAGGGTTTAGGAGTAGCAATATGGGTTGGAAGTGGACTCCAGGGGAATTCGCCTTGACGCTTCATTTTCCATTAAGCTTGCCACTTTTCCTTTTTGTTGCTTATCACAAACAGAAAAGCCCTTTACTAAAGATTCTTTTATTTACATTTACCTGCGATTCAGAAAATATCAATTGTCTATATGAAAAATTATCAGGAAAGGGCTAAAATGTCTTCAAGCTACCACTTTATGTAGTTGCCATTGACTCCCTCCACCAAAAAACAACCTCAGACCGCGAGTCACCTCCAAAACTCCTGTCGTCTGAAGCCCCACTAAAAATTAGTTAGTTCTGACTTGAAGGTTACTTAAATTCCCAGGATCCAGCTCCCTAAGAAAAGCATTTCCCTTTACGCCGGCGAATTTGTCACAGAGGGCGGGGCAGTAGTCCGCCCCCCCGCCAAATCCAGCGGGAGGGGCGAAGGTCAGTAGCGGCTTCCTAAGGCTTGTACGACCTCGCCTGGCCTGCCACTCAAGTCCCGAACTTTTGTAGTACTGGTTAAAGTTTCACTTTGACCCGCCTCCATCACTCACCTGATTAGATGTTTATGAGTCAAAAGGCGGGGTCATGGGGTGTCGAGATTTTATTGGTTGAGACATATGCCTGTCAGCGCAGTGCCGCCCCGTGTTTCCTGGCGCTCTCTTTAATGGCTCCTTACCTCGTTCATCTTCAAGGCTTCTCTCTTAGTACTGGTTTGGGGATCCGCCTTTCCAATCCTTCGTTCGAACTCGTTGGAGATAGAGCCCCTAAAGACCCGCCTTTCTCCAGAGGATTGGCGGATGAATGCACATATAGCCCACCCTCGACGGTAGGCGGGTAATCGTGCTATTGGCTGAAGCCCCCGCCCCGGGGCTAGGAGGAGGAGGAGGAGGGGCAAGAGGGTTTGGTTGAGCTGCAGCTGTTTGTCTGTTCGACACAGGCTCGGGCCCGACGGGGGAGACGGAGCCCCAGGTACCGAGCTGATGGAGCCCACAAGGGCAGAGGCGGAGGCACCCGGGAGATGAGAGCTGCCTGGCCTGAGAGCGGAGGCGGGTGTAGGCCTAAGCGAGGCGTTAGAGTGGCCCACTAGAGAGGGGAGAAGGAGGCCGGCCCCAGCAGGCCTAATGGGGGCGCTGAGGAGGGGATCGGGCGGGCTGGGAGCCCGAAGTTGGGGAGGCTCCAGGGTGCTGGGGGCCGGGTGCGGGAGGCCCAGAACCTCTGTGAGGGCAGCCACAGGCCTCATTACCCATTAAGCAGTGCTGAAGAGGGAGGAGCTGGGGAAAGGGACGGGGCTGCGGGTGAGGTAAGCCCATTTGCCGGGAGGTGAGGAGGGGTCAACCCTGACGCCCGGCTCGGAGGGTAACCGGGGCTGGGTCTCACGAGATATGTGTAATTGGAAGGCCTGAGAAGGGTTCTTAGCTAGGTGAGAGGCATTATTTTCAGGGAAAGTGGCTATTGTAAAGAGAACTGAGGGTGCGCTAGTGTTGAGTCGAGAGGGATTTGGGCTCACTGAGGGAGAACTGAGGCATTACTGATCTAGAAAACCAACGTAGTTTGAGCAAATGGAAGGAGAGCCTGGTGTCAGTTTGGGGAGCTTCTGGGAATGTGTTCAAGGGTGGGCTAGAGGCTCTGGGTCTTGGAAGTACTGACTCTTTTGTTCTTTAGTGCTCAGATGTGGTAATCTGAATTTTTTTTTCCTTTCCTTTTTTTTTTTTTTTTTTGGTACTCCCAGGGTAGGAGATGAAGACAAATGTAAACTCCCCCCCCCCCCACTGTTGGGCTGCTCCACCAAACATCCCTTACTCTTTCTCTTGGCTTTTTAGCTGGTTTAGACTGTAGTCTGTTTCTTCTGTTTCATATCTTGTGAAAGAGCTAAGAAGTTGGATTTGGGGGATGTTTTTATCTGTTGCTTTCCCATTTAATAATGTGGCCTGTACTGAATAGTATATTTTTTACCTAGAAGTGGGGAATGATTCATTATCTGCATGGAAAGGGGCTTTGAGCCTCCCAGCCATCAAAAGATCTTTTGATCATAGTTGGTGAAACTTTTGAGAGACTTAGATTTGGGTATTTCCCGGGCAGGTAATGGAGTTAACCAGTCCGGGAACTGTGAGGTGATATCACTGAGGAAGAGATTTGGGGAAGAGAAATTCCATTCCAGAAGGTTGGCATCACCTCTTGTTCTTTGTCTACTTCTTCAGGAGCCCAGGAATGCAATTAAAAAGTTGGGTCAAATGGTGAGGTATTTTATGAAGATGGATTACTAAGGCAAAGAAGTAGAGTGTCACCTCCCAGCCCCCTGGCTTTTTTTCCTTTTCTTTTTGCTGTACTGGGGTTTAGCTCAGGGATACTCCACAGTTGGGCTACATCCCCAACTCTTTTTATATTTTATTTGGAGATAGGGTCTGGCTAAGTTGCTGAGGCTGGCCTGCAACTTGTGATCCTCCTGACTCTACCTCCCAAGTAGCTGGGAATTTAGGCACACACTACTGCACCCAGTCCATATATTTTTAATGGTCTGCTGACCTTTTAGTCTCCCATAGCTTGGAGCCTATGGATTTTCCCTTTGGTACTTCCCCATCTTTCCCTTCTATACCAGTATATCTTATCACTACATTTTTTTTTAATTACCAAAGTAATATATACATATCTTAAAATATTTAAGTGCTATAAAGTATCAAAAATGTAAATTCTCCCACACATATCTTATTATATTTCATTTAGGAAGGTCAGAGATCAGAGACAGCAGATCAGACTTATATTTGTTTTGGGGATTTACCACCTAAGCAATTCTGTTTTCATGTTCTCACTAAATTCTGTTCTCATTCTTTCTAGTTTTCCCTTCTTGGATGATACTTTTATTTATTGTGCTCCTTTCACAGTTCATTTTATCTTCTATCCAATTCAGATAAGCAGAGGGTTGTACTGCTTGTTTGCATCATTGGGTTATAATTTTTCCTTCTTCCAAATAAATACACAGCCCAGTTGTGCATTGGGTATCCATGCCCAAATAGATGGACAAAATATTTTTCCTCTTTTTAGGGAAGGAAAGAAATCTGAAGGTTAATCATTTTTTTTTCCCCTGGGGTTATTATTGTCATCTCTGCTACAAAGTGAAGCATTTGAGACTTCTGTCCTTTGGTATTCTCTATATGTGGGCAGTATTTAACTGTCCCTTATCTCAGAAGATGGTGATGATTGCCTAAGAGGCTTTGGAATTTGACTTTCTATAGTGACCTGAGAAGTTCCCAAGTTTCTCTGGATTTGAAATTGGTTTCCTTTTAAATCTTAGATTCAGTACAGCTGGGGCATTTCATGCTACCACCTTATTAATTGAATTTGACCTTACTAGCTTTAGAAGGCTTCTAATATGTTCTACCTTTTTACACTACCCAGTGGAAACCTCAGTTATTCCCCTACCACCATCACAGAACTTTTCTCACCTGAAAAGCCAGTCCTAGAGAAAACTAGGGGTATGTGTGTATTAATCCTCTGTAGTCCTTGTCACTTATTAAACTTTGGTGGTATCCTGTTCTGTATGTTCCCCCTCCTCCCACCATCTTCTTAATCAGAGATTACTTTTAAGAAAGGTTCTGGGGTAGGGGGATTGCTCCATGGTAGAGTGCTTGCTTAGCATTTGAGAAGCCTTGGGTTAAATCTCAGCACCCAAAAAGAAAGAAAAGGTATGGAATTGCTCAAATTTAAAATGTAAATAGCACATAATCCCTAAAAGTATTCTCCCATTGGCTTGTTCATCTTAAGAAAGTTAATGAGTGGAATTATCAATGTGGACTTTCAAACAAAAATATGTTTGGAGAAGAGGGTTTTTCTCTTGCCCTTGATCATATCTCAATCTTTTAATGCTTACTTTTCCTGAGAACAAGGATTACTCTTCTATAGTTTGTTTGTGTGCATTAATATGAATTTGACTTCTGAGAAGGCGGCATGGAGTAGAAGCAAGCATACAGCCCACTCCCTAATCCTAAAGCATTTCTGATTGGAAAGTAACCAGAATATGAGACAGTGAACTTAAAATAAGGAAATGCACCAGTCCTTTGGGAGAAAGGGTACCATAAAACCCTACACATTATATTCCTACTTCTCAAGAGTGTTTTAGGAAAGATTTTGTCATTGACTGTGAACAGTAACTAAGCTGAATAAGGAGCCACCCAGCTAAGCAGATTTCTGAGCCAGGTTGTAGCTTCAGTTTAGGGGTAGTGGGTACCTTTTCAAAGTGTCTCCTGGCTCTGTGGTGGTATGAATTTCTTTATAAAACTTACTTTTCAAGTCCAGGAATTAATAGAGGTAATGACTCAAAGCTTTTTAACTACTTAACATCAATCTTTAAAACAGGGAATTTTATTTTTAGGCACAGCCACTTCAGTGTTAGGGTGAGAGGGCCACATACTGGTTGTGATTAGGCCATCTGAGACATGGTAACAGGAAAAGCAGTTAACCCATGTGAGTTACAACAGTACCTTTGTGGGCTGGGTCCCAAGGGGGCCCCCCATTCAAGGGAGATCACAAAGAGTCCAGGGAGAGACCTTTCTGAGGCCTATTAAAAACATTCCCTAGCCAGGCACAGTGGTATACACCTATAATCTCAGTGAATCTGGAGTCTGAGGCAGAAGTACTGCAAATTTGAAGCCAGGCTTGGCAAGACCCTGTTGCAAAATAAAGTTTTTTTTTTTAAAAGGTGGAGAGGGGCTGGGGATGTATCTTGGGTAGAATGTGCCCAGGTTTAATCCCTAGTCCTGGGGGAAAAAAAATCCCAAACAAAACCGAGTGAGATCTATTTAGATGGCACAATAGGGAAGTGAAGCAGGATTTCTTTGGTCCTTACAAGCAATTTAGGGAGCATTTAATCAGCACCTACGAGGGACCAGGCATTGTACTCTACTCTGAAGAGTCATGATATCAAAAAATACTCCTACTTTGTGAGCAGTTTATAGTTTACCAGATACATAATTAACTATAATGTGATAAAGGCTATGGTAGAAATAGTCTTAACACTGTGAGACCTTGTGTGAGATACTAGAGAAAGCAATGATGAATTCTGCTGAGGTAAGAAGATAATTATGCAGTTTCACAGAGAAGTGACATTTGTTTTGGCCTTATAAGATATATTAGGATTTTGCTAGGCAGAAAAAGAAGGGAAGGGCATTCCAGCCTTTCCTAGGTCAATAACAGAGTTTGTACTACCATCTGATAAGAGATAAGTATGTGTTTTGCCTCTTGGAGAACTATAAGGGAGAGGGTGGGGGAAGTAGAATGACTTTCATTTAAGGCATGAGTCATTGGATAGCATTGGATCAACACAGTGAAAGGTGAGTTAAGTAGCATAGCTCAAGATTTTAAGTAGCATAAATTCAAGGTTTGGGCGATTTGTATCTAAACAAAATTGGAAAGGAGACAAAGGCATTTACTGGCTTCTGCTCTATAGTCCGTGCTTAGTAAATCTCTCACATTAGTCTTAAGGCCCACCAAATGATGTAAAAGTTACCAGTTCCTTCCCTATTTTCTCCCAATTGAAAATTGCTTCAATTCCAACTGTCCTGGCAGAGAATGGTTAAGACCATTTAGAGAGAGGAACTGTTAATTAATCATTCTGTCAGAAGAATATGGGACATGGGCTGGGTTTGTGGCTCAATGGTAGAGCGATTGCCTAGAACATGTGAGGCACTGGGTTCAATCCTCAGCACCACAGAAAAAAATTGATAAATGGGGGGAAAAAAAGGTTATCTATCTACAACTAAATATATATATATACATTTTTTTTTTTTTTTTTAAGAAGAAGAAGAAGAAAATGGGACTAAATCCTGATTTCTA